ACAATATTATATTATTGTTGTCTCAAATGATTTCCCAAGGGTATACCACAATATCAAAGTTGAAATTATTCCACATTTTAAAGATTAGACAACTTGTAATCAAGTAAATCGCATTTTAATATATTCTTAAATTACTAATACATTTTGACGAAAAGAAAATTATTTATAAAGTTGAAATTAACATTAATACGATATTTAACAAAAAAGGGAAAAATAGAAAAGCCTTTAATTGATAATATATTATTTTCGTATTTCTTATGGATTAAATCGATTATTTTTAACTTACTGTTATTTATCATACATTATTGATTTATCATAATTCATTTCATATAATAAAATTTATTTTCATTTATTTTTTTTTTCAAACTTTACCTTTATTTTTTAATATTTGAAATGATTTTGAGATTAATTCATGTCGTCACTTCACTTCCGCCAGAATATTAGGATATCAAATGTGGCGCATAAATGCAATTGATGGATATATTGCTATTTATATATAATTACTTGGAATATATCGACTATTAATTCACAAACACACACATACACACACACACACACACACACACATATACACACAAATGCATTTTAAAATGAGATGAAAAAAAATGCGCATTTCATACTTTGTCAATTTTCATTTGAAATTTTTTCAACATACACTTCAAAATAGAAAGAAGAAAGGAAAGATACTAAAGGAATGTTTAGAAGAATTGAAAAAACTTTTGAATTGAGAAAAATGAAATTATTGTTGACAAGAAAATTTTATGTCATTTGAAGGTCATTCTTTTTAAATGAATTAAATTTCCTTCTCCTACCACCCTCTTTAGAGCTAAGATAATATTATGATAAACAATAGATTCATAAATAAGAGAAAAGAGAAAAGATGGAAAGAAATATGAAAGAGTAAGTTGAATGTGAAAGAAAAAAGAAAAGAGATTAAAAAAGGTGCATGAAGTGTAAATTGCACTAATTGCAAAATGATTCATGCACACATTAAATAATTAAATTCATATTGTTTAGCTTTATGTGATCTTAAAAATCTAAATTTTAGTAAAATATTTAATTTTCTATTAGTAATTTTTCTTGCTATAATAGTAGTAAATATAATGATAATATAATATCGTAAAATTGACAATTGAATGGTTATCGTATGAAGTAGATGAGTTGATAAAAAGAAGATATGAATAATTGCATGATAATTTCAAATATTCATTCAAGAAAGAATTGCTTTCTTGATAACTATATCAAGGTATGATTCAATATTTTAAATTAGACCAATTTTAATACCAAATATTTACAATATGCATATAATTAATTAATTTGGTATTAACTTTTAGATTTTATGCAGAATACAAAGTTTTACTTCTTATCACATCGATTCGTCCAACTAGACTATCACTTGTATACTAAACGGTAGTGCGATAAAAATAAATTAAAATTGACGGAAAAAAGATTTAAACCTAAAACTATTACTTCTAACAATTAATATTAATTATAAAAAAAGTAATCATTTTGTTCAGAAATGTTTGCAAGCAAATAAAAGAAAGCAAGCGTTTAAATTAAACTAATATTCTAAAAATTATAAATTTTCGCTTCTTATTCTTTTACAATTTATTTTTCGAATTAATTAATGACATTATGAATAATATTTGTATTGCAGAAAATTGCTTATTAATATAAAAAATAAATATAGTCGTAAAATTTTATTTCTATTTCATACCATCTTTTCTTACCATTTTATAATTACCTTAATACATTGAAATTTGAAATTTGAAATTTTTATTAAAATTTTTAGATTATCATTTTAGAGGATAGAAGAGAGTGTGGAAAGAATGAAACGAATGATAAAGAAATGAATAAGTCTGAATATTAATGAAATGATCGAACTCATCGGGAATATATGAGAAAGGATCAATAGGTAAATTGACAAAAATTATTAAATTTGAAAATTTAGAAGAAAAGGATTATTCTTTAATATCAAGAGTTAATGATGAAAAGTAGAAACAAACCTGAATGTTATAAGGCTGTGGAAGTGCAAGAGAAAGAGCCAAAAGACAAATTGAACTGCAATCCATTTTTAGGAGTTGTCGGAAAAGGTTTTCCTTCCTATCACCACTACTGCAGTAGTGTCTGTGGACATTATTCGTAATTTATGTTCCCTCTAAACACCACTGCCATAACCACCATCATCACCATCATCATCAATCATCATCATCATTATCATCATCACTCTCATCATCAATTACTATTGTCATTATCATCATTCATTCATTCACTATCATCATCGTCATCATTCATTATCATTATCATCATCACTGACTATCATTATTGTCATCATTATCATCATTATTACTTATTACAACCATTATCAATACCATAATTACCTTCATTACTAGTCCTCTCGGGTTTCCATTTGTCGTGTCACTTCTCCACTTCAGATTGTAATTCATCCGTGATTTCTTTCCTATCTTTCCTTCGGAATGTATGTTATGGGAAAATAAAAGAAAGCCTCATCAAGTTCTACATCGATGTTATAGATAATTTCTGGAGTTAATAATCATTACCTAACTGGATTTTATCAAACTTTTAAATATATAAATTTAATACTAAAATTTACAGTCGCGTATGACGACGAAATCACACCTCCACTTATTAGTAAAGTACTAAAGCTACTATGATCAACTTCATGTATTAACTTATGAATTCTAATTTTAACTTTATAAGAATTACTTTATGAATTTATTATCAGTAAACAATTTGGCCAATATTTTAGCAATTATATTTTCTTAGTAAATATTTATTTTCGAACAATCGTACTATCTTTTTTCCCTCAAAAAATAATCTATCGTTCTATTTTTGCTCATTTTTACTTATTTTATATCCTTTTTTTTTAAGAAGAAGGAATTTTTTCCCTGAATATAATACAAGTGCGGAAAAGTAAGTAATGATTAGAGTGATAACACACAAATTTTCTGAAATAATATGTTTTATAGAAAGTGCATTTCACATTACAGATAATTGTGTTAAATGTTGCAGCAAATACTTCGCAATATCGACAATTGGTATATAAAGTATTAAATTGCATAATGATCATTTTTTTATAACCATCATTTCAATACAATCATCAGTAACATCACCTAACATTGTTTACAGCTAATAAAGCATTCGTGATCTTTTTAATTATAAAAGTTATGGTAAGTTAATGAGAAATGGAAATTGATTTTCTGAAATTCTAGGTTAGACTAAACCGGAGTAAGCTGAATTAAAGCGCAAGACAGAGTTTCAAAATAAGCAGTTAAAGTTAGCTTTCTATAATTATTTAAATTTTCCACAAAAAAAGTATGATGTAAAAAGCTCGTAAGAAATCCGATTAAAATTTCCATGCATAGACTATTTAACAAACTTCAAAAGAAAAAAATCTAATAGAGAACTACTTGATCCCATCAAAAATTTCCTCCTGGTTAATGAAAAAATGCTTGCAAAATTTATGCAAACACTATCCCACCGTCTTATGCTACGATTTCGTTTGCTGGAATCACTTTCCTTACCGAATCCTTATCATTGCTCATATCTGTTTATTTCTAAACAGTTCCAAGATAATCGTGTAGGAAGATAAACAGGCCTAATAATGATCAATTAATTTAGAAGTATTAGAAGCAACCTCAATTTAGGGATGACTTTCCCCACAAACAGTTATTTGGTCAATCTCAGTCCATTAAATAAAATTTAACATAGTGGGCACGGAATTCAGCTGATAGTTTCACTAATATTCATTTAATGATTTGATGAAATTATGCGAACTTTGCTCGGTCTGAAGAAATGTCGCCATCAAACTCCTCAGCAGATTTCTAACTTCAAACACCAATCTTTATTCACCATCCCAACATTTTTGCAGAATTTATGATTAAGAATTTGTCCCTTACTTCATAATTTAAATTAAAAGAAAACATGCACAGAGGCCTCAAACAAACATTTGTGGAAAAAAAAAGATTGCTACATATGACAGACTTAATGCAATAAGAAATTTACAAACCTGCCCCACCCCATCGGATGTTTTACATCCCCGAAGTGCTATCTAAGTTTGAAAAAGTTCGGTAAACAAGTTCAGTCTAGATGAAAGTAGAAGTCATTATGGATCGATAGTCAAATTTAATTTTGTAGCAAGATAGGAACAGAAAAAATGAAAAATGTTAATGCGTAATCATAATAGATATCATAACTTTAAAAAAGCCACAAGCTCAAAAACATGACTGCCGAAAAGACAAGAAATTAGTAACACATACAGAAGATTATTGTACAGTGGTTTCATCACTTATAGAAAGTGAAATTGCGATTAACTCAATTCACCGAAATAAAGATAATTGAAAATAAAAGAAATGCGAGTAAGACTATGAAATATATATGAACAAAGAAATAGGACACCGCACCAACTACCTAATGGCAGTACATGAACTGATAAAAGTAAGAGAAAAAATTTTTTAAGTAAAATAAAAAGTGTGACATCGAAACAACAGCTACCAAAACGCGATTTGATTAACTGAAGTCTTTCCATCAAGATAAAGGAGAGATATACCTTAACGCTTCGTTTTCTTCAAAAAAAATTTTGCGCATTTTTTCTTCCTACAAAAAAAACCTTAGAAAACTGTAAGCCACTCATATTGACATCTTATGACATTTTTCGTATTTTAAGACCTATCATACATAGAATAAATAAACGAGGTATCAAAAATGGAATAAATAAATGCATATAATAATGCGACTAGTACATAAAATGACACGGAATAAATCATTCAAATTTTCTCCTTTCAACTAAAATTTCCAATTAAAGCAATTTTAACCAAAGCTAGAGGTAAAAAAAGTTACATTTTTAGACTCGAAATATGTAAAAACAATGGTTAAGACGGTGTGTAATGATGAGATTAACAATATTGTACAGAAGAATGAACAATGCCTTTTCCGACTTAGCTGGCAGATGGAGTCTGCGCTGATTGCATGACCGTTTGCTATAATATGCGCATTTCCTCCGGGCGTAAAGCACGCGTTTTTCGCAAACGTTTCCATTCTCCTGTTCGATAATCCATCTAAAAGAAGCGTACACAAAGTCTGTTTAGTTCGAAGCCCTGGGACTTTTATTGCCCATGAATTAATCCACACAATGCGACATGATGAAATACAGAAATATGCTCACCGATGATGCAGGAGTTAAACATCAAAGATGAAAATAAATTCTCCAATAGACTACCAAAAAAGATTACAATGTTAACATGGAACATCAAAAAAAATTACACGTTGCTAATATCACAGTACCTGAAAGAAGGTCTCCACACGCATTTTTTGCATCGTCCCATCTGGTCGAAGCTCATCTTCGTAAGTTTCTGATAACTTCAAGGTCAGGAGATCACCCAAATGGGGGTACGGATGGACTGAAACATTTCCCGATGGGTTTCATCAGAAATATAATACAAGCTAACTACAAAAACAAAAAAGCTTAATTATTCAGTTCGGTTTGTTTTTGCTTCAAATGCCAGTAATTTATATCATAACAGTTTGCTATTCACATTAAACTTTCCCATCTATTATCAGGCCGCTTCTATAAACCAAGGATGGAGATTTTTTTCATTCTTTTCTCCTGAAAAATATAGTCTCACAACATAGAGTAAACTTCCCCATTCAATCAAGACACGGAGCACTTATAACATATCCACAAATTCTCTTTTTTATTAACAAAGTCGCCCACCTTTGTTACCGGACATGAAAGCAATGACCATACGGTGACCTTCCTCGTTCAATACATTGGCACACGCTAACATTTCTTCACATTGTCGACGTGCGAATGATTCACGCTAAATCAATCACTAATAAGAACTCAACTGACTACTTTATAATCGTCAAAAATTATCGCCATATTTTATTCGATCAAATTCGTATGCAGTGCTAGAAAGGTTATCAATGATTCCTTTGATACATAATACGAACTTTTCTGTCATGGTACAAAAGTTGTCATTTGTTAAAAACAAAAACAAAATTCCAGAGAGAAACCGACAGCGACTCCAAAAATTAACTCTAAATTATCATAGTCATATAAGGTTCGAGGTCAATAGAGCATGTATCTCAAAAAAATTAGACGCACAATACTTGCCAAACAAAATTTAGTATAATTTCAAAGGGCAATACTCGAGACTGATGAATTGCAGATGGAGGTGACTGCGAATCTTGACTATGGTCCGACTGCACTGTTGGTAAATCGCGAACATCGCCGTAGGAAGACGAGAGTTGGCTGGTGTCTTGTATGGAGTCATTGCTTTCGTCATTTATAGGATGAATATCACAGTTATCTTGAATCAAACTTGGATTATTTCGAATTGCAGAAGAAATTGCTTCATTTACCGCAGCCGTAACTTCATCTACTGTCACAGCAGCAGCAGCAGCTTCTCTGGCCTTCTGTGCAGCTATTGCAGCTCGTTTTGCATCCTAAAAATTTGAGACCTAATAATAATCCAACTAATAAAGCACATAGTAATAAATATATTCTGTCAAAATTCACAGGAGTAAGTCACATATTTTGTTTTCAAATAACTGAAATAAGCAACTACTAACTTTTACGGCCTTTTCAACCTGGGCACGTTTCCTTTGTTCTTCTCTCTCTTGTTGCCTTCTTGCGCGTTCTTCTGCTTCCTGTTCTTTTCGACGGACACTCAGTGCCTGCGGCAGGTCACCAATATCAATAAATTTAGCACCACCTTCGCGCCTCGTTAATTGTCTTTGAAATTTGCGTGGTTCATTCGTAAAACCAGCGGACAATTTACAAGTATTTGTAGTTGGAATCCCACGCATTGGTACTACAATGTATGAAAACCATCAACTTCTCGAGTAAATCGTCCACAGTTTCAAAAAAAACATCAAAAAAATAATAATTGCTAAAAACACGATCTAAAACTGTGAGTTGATTCTATCAACGGCACTGCTAACATGAAGAGGGCCACTAATATCTAGAAAACTACAATACCCTTGCTTATATAGCTTCATGTGCATTACCGCTTAATTAGATATTTGGATATTACACAAATCTTTTCCGTTTAAAAACAAATGTGTATGATCTTCCTGAGCAAACAGCAACTGCCCACGACAAAAAAGTCTTGAAGTTGATTGCCGAAGTTACCTTGAACACAAAAATATTATTAGAATATGCGATTCGAAGATTTTCCAATGTACTTTTTGAACGGTCTTTCTATTTCTTCTAGTAAAAGGACACTTACAATCATTATTCGGCTTTCTGGCAGTGCTTCGAATGCGTATAGGGAAACTTGTTGATATAACATCAAGCTTCTGATTTTTATTTCGATTGCAACCAACTTCTAATGCTGAAAATGTAGTGCAAATGTCAAGGAAAACCTTTTCCGATTTACTAACAGAACAATATCCATTTCCCAACAGCATTTAGAATTACATTTAGAAAAATTCAATTCGACATAAGTATGACATCACTAACATTTCAACAGCTCAGCTTTTAGTGTATATGATTTAGCCCGTCGCTTTAAATTGAAATGTTTCCGATTTTCAATTTCGGTTAAACCAAAACGTATCTAAAAAATCTGAACTTGTTACTGGGATACAAAACAATAACATAACGGAGATAAGCAAGAAAATAATGATGTAAAGTGAAAGAATCAACATCAAATAAAGTATCCGCTACCCTAATTAATTTTACAATGAATTCAAAATTAATATACCTCGATTGCAGTTTGTGATACAGCATTTAAATCAACAGGTAACAATCGTAAATTATTATTTGCAGAATGCTTTCTAACTAAAAAGAAATGTATGAATTCATGATTTCAAAAACTAAAAATTCTTTCCGAACTACTTATCTTTAATCCTACTTGTTTTGCGCAGTTTGTATTATGTTTATTAAAGAATCGAAAGCAATTTGTGTATTTAATGAAGAATTCAGAATGATTGTGAACCTACAGCTAGAGAAAAAGTCCATATGGAACACGTTTGCAAAAATATTTTCCTTTTGCAAAATTCGCATGGATAAAACACAGTTACTGGCTATATACTGAAGATGAGGAAATATTATTCCCAAAGTGACAATGAATAAAAGGCAAAAGCTTACCCATTTTCCTCAACTCATCAAGAGATTTACGAAAATAAGAATCCGCAATGGTAGGTATCGGTGTTATACATTGTCGATTAGGATATTCTCTATACATGTCAGCAACGGTTTCAATCCAATCATCAGCATCTCTTCGAGCTAGATCCAATAAATTCATTAGCGGTTCTTTCCACTAAAACCAAAACAGGAGAATTAACAAATATAATAATAACGTACATAAAGAGAATAAAAAAAAAAACCCAGAGGGAACATTTAGTTTATGCAGTGGGATAATCAACGGTGTTTAACTTTAAAAATGCCCAGTTCACATTTACTTTACTGATGTCTGAGTTTTAAAATCAAAAACATTATAACCATGTTCATATTTGCTTTACATCAAATATCTTTCAAGTATATGGACAAATAAAAAACAAATGCACCATTGTAAGAAGTCGATAGGACAAATGCGGAATGGCTAATATAATTTTCAGTTTAACATGTGGTTCTAATGCTTGAAAACACGTTTCCAATTCTATCAACATTTCGCGTGAAAGTAACGATGCCGCTTGTCGACCACACCACAACTCGCTGTTATCACCAAGTTTGTTGTTCAACCATTTCACCAAATCCAAATCACGTAGTTGGGAGCTTGGCATCGATAATTTGAACGGTTCATCATAATTTAATACCGGCTAGAACAATCATTCAATATTTACAATGCCAATACTGCAAAATGTCTGCTAACACCTACGCTTTTACTCTTCACTTATAATCCATATATGATTCAGTTTTACATGTGACAAAGTGTAAAATAAAATAAGACATTAAACATAGTCAGTTCTGCTTTACTAAATGATAAAGTATATCAGTCTGTTTGTAATATGTATGAATTAGTAATACAGGAAGCCAATGCGGCATTACCTCAACCTTTTGTTTTTTGACTTCTGATGCATTATCGTCATCCTTCACTTGGTTCGCCATAACCGAGCCTTTGACTTATCGTTATGATTTTTCCCTCCTTCCTCCGCTTCTCTTCACTCCTCAGCAACAACTTAGACGAATTATATTCAATCATAATTTGAATTAGTGTTTAAACATGACAATAGAATGTAACAAATAGCTTCATTACTTCCACAATAATTTTACAGTTATGAACGAATATTATAAGAATTCCAAAGTATAGAAATGGCCGACAAAAGCATAAAATAGTGTGCCAAGATGGACAGAGGAGGTAAAGTGCTGGAAGAGCGGATGAAGGGGATGACAAAGATCAACTTATATTCATCCTAACAAATAATAAGCTTGAAATGCTACAGCGCAACTCCGTACCGACAGAGGAGAACACGTGCGATAACTTGAATTAAAATCCTCTTACAAAGTACAAACTGCCGAGTTACGTGACAGTTTGCCACAAATGTTGAGGACTAATTCGCGGCACGACCTTGGACCATCTCGCAGTTGTCAACATAACGTTCGGTGACTATTTCTTGATTTTGGTAGATATATTTGCGAGTATTATTAGATTTAATTAATGGGAAATCGAGAAATCGAATTTCAATTAAGTTGATCACACCTTTTCTTTACTTACTATTATTTCTCCTGTTCCTTCTGATCCATTTAAACGAACGTTACCGGACAACTGGATGATATCCTAGAAGAAATGTCTGGATAATATACGCTGGCTTTTCTTAGTTTGATCCGTTTATGTATAAATGTTCCTTTTTTATCCTTTCTCTCTTCTTTTCGTCCAACGAAGACACTTTTCCAGACAGTGTTGAATAATCAGCATTGACAAGAATAATCCTTTGTTAAATCAAAATTGAAAATAAAACAAGAAAGGTATTGAGTCAGCGCAACATTAATGACTTGAATTCGTGTTGGAAAAATAAAAAATTCAGATAATAAGAGAACTAAGTAGTGAGCAATTCAGATGAAATTACGTAGCAGTAGTATATTTAAATACGTAATGAAATTAGACTTCAGATAATGAAAGCGCAAGCAGGTGTACTGCTTCTCGCTTAGGACGCAGACTTCAAAAGTATGTGCCTGATGTAATTTTGATTAGTTGTTTTGAAGAGACTTATCAATCCTCCTTCTTCCATTCCTCGTCTACTTCTGAATTGGGACACAAGCAGTGAAGCACCTAAATCGTTGTCAGGAACTTCTAGTATGCTATACAAAAGATGGATCTTATCAAAAAAATGAAACCATGAAAGCACCCCCAAACAGAATCCCTATCCTTTACTTGGAAAGTTTGAATCCTTATTCTTGAGAATATTGCCGTGTTTCTATAATTTACTGTTCGGTAATTAATTTAACACTTCTATCAGACATTCGATCATCTCAAATGGTTCGCAATGCCCATTCAAATAGTATACAATTCATTAGTATAAAATCAACTTTAATAAAGGTTACAATCATTTTACTTAACAATTATGACTTTATAAACGATTGGAAATGAAAGAAAAAACGACGATCCATAACTTGTTTGTATAGGGCCAAATACATCTTTCCTATGTCTGATAATGAGACGTACATTGCAGTTATCATGATGATAAAGCACGTTTCGAAAATTGATGTGGAAAATGTATTATTCTTATCATCGCACTTCATTGTAAATTTAACAAAAATCAACCGATGAACTTGAAATTTCAATGTAATGAATTACGAATCCAACAAAGCGACAGAACACTTTACTTTTTCTCCTCCTTTCTCCTTTTCAATTTAGCTCAGATAATTTTATCTCATTTGTTTGTTTCTGTTGTTCCCTCCAGCACATACTAAGTGCGAAAGAGCAAAAGGAAAATAGACACATTACGGTAATTCTTGGGATACAATTGTATCGTTTACATTAATCCTAAATATCATCAATTCTCCAGTACATTATTTTTTTATTTTCATATGAACAAATAACATATGATAAAGTTTTAATACGTTAAGTTGCAGGAAACGTTTACTGATATTGCTTGGTGATAGGTAGAGTTTAAAAATTCGATGCATATTATAAATTGAATAACAAACACGACGGAGTTTACCCTCATATACATATCATCCGAGCTATCGTCGTTCTTACAACTTTTTTGTTGCTTCAGTGCCGAATCTCAAAAATTCCATTTGTAATGCAGTTTCCGCTGTGACAACTTTCATGTTCATACATGCGCATTTGGAATCTATTTTAAAAAAATATTCACTGAAAATCAAAAAAACTCCGAAGTCAGATGTTTGGATAGAAACTTTGATTGATGACCATTCAAAGAGCCTAAATTTGTCCTTGGACTATAACAGTGATGATTGCGGCGAATTTTATCCAAAAAAAAATTGACTTCGCATAATTCCCCCTTGTGCAAATATATGTAAACATTAAAGTAGCTTTGCAATAATAATCCTAGATGCTCATCTAAATTCTAATTTGGATTGACAGGATATTTGGATCATACTTGAAGGATTTTAGATCTGAAAGTTTGGATTCTCAATAAATTCTTAAGTGTTATCGTTGGCACGCAATTTTCATTGACGAAATGCACGGGACATTCAAATTCTTGCAACATGCGGTAAACGTTTCAAAGGATCTTGAAAAGACTCTTTGCAATGCAGTTTCTGCTATGACAACTTTTATGTTCATATATGCGCATTTGGAACCGATTTAAAAGAAAATATTCATTGAAAGTCAAAAAACCCCTAAATCAGATGTGTTAGATATTACCTTTGCATGTTGAGATCTTTTCAAGATATTATCTAAGTCTCAGGGAATCAAGTGACCATGTATAGATTTAGACTCGAAGAGTTTAATCTAGTACCACCGTTCAACGAATTATCTCCTTCCAAATAGCATCAATCATGGCCACAATGATCTGGTGTTATTCGCCACCGGAAGCGAAGAATACGTTTAAAATTATAACAAATATCGTGCCTAGCATGGAAAGAGTAAAAGGGAGTACTACATCCTTTTCATTACACGACCCATAGAAGCTTGACAATTTGGTCTTTACCACTTATTTTTTTTTACCACTCACTTATTATTAACAAATACTGTAATTGAAAAACAACAACAGATATTTACATTCATTATATGACAATGACACAAAAGTATGAAGATATGAAACGATTTTGTATACTAAACAACTGAAGTCAGTTGTTTAGTATACAAAATCTATACAAAGTATACAAATCATATGAAATCATATTTTCGACCGGCTTAATAACCACGAATAAACCAGAAAAATGTCCGGAATGTAAGAAAATACAATTTGACGCAAGGCGGAGCTATTTTTTGTTTGCTGGTCTAAATCCATGAGGAAATTGAGGCACTCATTTCATTACAGATGTTAAGATACAAATTAATATTTCTCAAATAAACAATTCATTACTAGGAATATTCTGCGATGGAGGATATCACAAGAAGAAAACACAAAACACACACCTTTCAAAGTTGGACGAAATATATCACATATATCACATAACTAAATTAATAAAACAGGAAAAGGCAGAACAAAAATAATACTAAAGCTGAGAATAAAATGAAAGAAACCTAAACTACATACATCAGACTGAATTGATACTAGACAGTAGGAAACCATTCAAACTTTGAGTATAAATATAATAATGCACGACATCACAGTTGCAATAAATTTCGTGATTAAAACAATAAGGTGTTGCAATAATGGAGGGCGAAAATACAAGTTACGGAAGTCTCCAGTAAGCCCAAAAACACCGTATATTATTATATTAGCTGGAGAAAATCAGAGAGGTCTGAAACCATCAACAGCTAGTTCAAACACTAAGATTAAAACCAAATGGTTTCACGATCTGACCAAAAGCTCGATTGCTGAGAATATATGTAAGGTCGGGTCACCATACCGAGTGTATTTACAAAATTCACAAAATTGATGATACAATCGATGACTGAAAATTATGTATAATCATTTACAATCAATCACAGAGGTTCGAGTAGACGAGGACCAGAGTGGATAAGACGAGAATTTTTTGCTCAAAGAAATGCTTAAATGATTAATTAAACTTAAAATTAGAGAATGGTTACCAAAATTTTCAGCCCTAAAAAATTTCTGTAACTCCAGCATTCTTTAAATACACAGCGAATGATAATAACAAAACCATGTCTTATAAAATTCCTCGCAAAATGATCCAGAGATCAAATTGGGATGACAGAAACAACTTCCTTCCCACTTCACGTCTAGTCCAATTCTAAGTATGCTGCCACTACTTCAATAACATATGCTACCTTTTATGAAACAACAACAATGAGACCTTGAAATAAAGCATTACTTTCAAAAAAACCTGAGATCAAAAAAATGAACTAATTAACATTGCATCTTCTTTGATGCTTTTTCTGCAACGATGCCTTTATTGCTTCGTAGAACCTGAAAACATAATCGAACCATGATATGACTTTCAAGACTAAACGTATCCATAATATTTACCACACAAACCTAGTACCGCTGAGAATACAGACTTAGAATTTTAGTAAAGTTAATACTTGTTCAAACTTTAAAAATTACCAGATTTCTTTAAGTAAGGTTCCCAATAGCTCGAAACAGGCTTTGAAGGTAATGTTGCCAAGTAAAAAAAGTGCACTGCAACCGGAAATTCTTCTGCAGCTGGTAAGAAGCGTGCGATAACAACCGTCTAAAACATTTTATAGACATGAGTATGTTCAAATCATAGAAAGGAAAAAAACAATGCCAGCTGATAATTGTGCATTCAAATTAACTTTCTGCCTCATGGAATACATCTATATATACTGCGATATCAGTATCGCAGTACAAATGAATTTTTTTAGAAACTTGCTGTTAGCAATTTTAAAATATATCTTTATTTTATGGAACACAAAACATCCAAAAATGGATCTATATAAGGTGCTCTGATAGGCCTTGGCTAATAGCATAATAGATTCTCAATAAATCTATTAACTGCTACATAAAATCTTTGATCAGATATAACAGGATAACTGAATAGGGAATGAAAGAGAAACAGAAAATGTGAAGTATAGCTATAAAAATTTTAAAATGTACACGTGTTAAGAACCAAATTTAAAAAATTCACACAAACAACCTGGTCGATCCGCAAAGAACGACTACGAATGGTCGAGTCGTACAGAAATTTGCCGTGCTTGTTTCCAATAATCATTCTGTAAAGACTTACTTACAAAATATAAGAACTATTTCTGTCTTAAATTTCAAATGAACCTTAGGACTCAATTTTTGAAAATCATTATTAAATCAACAAAGTAATAGGATATTATAATATGTAATAACATTGTGACAGCAATACCGATAGTGCAGCATTATATCAAATTTCAAATTGGTCGAATAAGGTGTCCACTGAGATAAACAGTTCCTCTTTAAAGTTATCACCCTGTAAATGACTAATTCGGATCGAGACACAGGGAAGCGATTTCGTTACTTGTATTTCAACTACATCATAAACGACCGATTAGTTAAAATCTTTAACAGTGACTGAGCCAAGTAAATTAGTCATTTATAACTTCAACCTGTACCATTCACAGAAACTTTCCAGCCCTATACTCCGTGATTCAAAAGTAAAATTTGATAATGCTGAAAAATTCACTATAATACCTTACTTGTTTCCCCAAAGAAAAAAATCGTTCATTGGTCGTGACAAAAAATGCAGAAAATTTAAAAAGTTCCAAAAAATTCCTAGAATCAGTAGCCTGCCAATGGTTTAACATAAATTAACTTAATTTCATAATCGCAGCAAAACATTTTATTAACTTTGACAATGTATGAAAACTTACCCATCACTGTAATTTAGTAGCAGATCTACACCAAAATTGAAACCAGACCACCGCCAACATTTCTTAAAACAAATTTTACATTTCCCATTATTTTTACCATGTCATGCAAACCTCTAATGGAACACAAAATTACTAAGAACTTTCAAGTGCATTCTATTTTCCAGTATCACTGTCGCGGTATGATAATGGATTTTATACTATTAGAAAGATGAAAAATGAATTGTAATATAATGAATCAAATAGTCAAAATTTGTTACAAAGACAACTACGTAAGCAGATATAAGCTGATTTTTTTTCTTATTTAGTACAAAAAAAGTGAGGAAAGCCATACTGGAGATGAATCAAGTACTCGTCCTAATCGATGAGCATTAAGATGGAAATCTTCATCTTTAACTTCGATCTGCCTGGAAAGTATGAATTTTCTCACTTCACAAGCAAATAAATCTTTGGAAACAATCACTTTTATGAAAATAACATTAAATTGCGAGCAAAAAAAGACCTTTAGTGTTTCATTCAAAAGAAGGAAGGAGGGAACATATCCCACAATGCACTGGAATATAAAATAGAACTTGATACTTTATGCTAAATCTATTTTATCGCGAACACGTTGAAAATATTCAACTTGTGAATTCACCTAAAGAAACTTACTCTTTCATTTCTTCATTGCACAAAAGCAAAAACCAATTGTCAGCAAGCACCTGATCGATAATTTCATTTGGAATAAGTGGATCTTTTCGCAAATCGCCAATCGTTTTTACAGATGAAACAATGTGCCCGATACGGATATTACAAGTTATGTCCGCAAAAGTACGACACAACGTATCCTTATCATCATCCGTTAGTGACGAATAATATTTCTCCATCTCAGTACGTATTTCTTTATTTTCCATAACATAAGGAACTGTTTGCAAGAAGATCCACTGAAAGTAATTGGATTACTCCTTCATATCGCAGAAATTCATGCAAGCATGCAAAATACTAACGACCAAATTATTCGAAATTCTAAAACAATGCCACAGAAGTATACAACACCGACCATCTAACCAACGACTGGATTAAACGAAAAAGTTGATTGGTGGCATCATAAACCTCCTTGTTAACACGGGTGAGCGAATAAATCCAACTTGCAGTAGTGCGAGGGGCGACTCAGTGACCAGACAGTCCTGACTACAAAATTTTGTACCTTTTTGATTGTTTCATACAGATCAAGTTCTCCTTCAACGACCAACAAATCTGATGCAGCCATCAACTTTGCCATTGTTACGTGACTAGAAAACGATTAGCATAATAATCATTCAGTATTACATCAACGTAATGACAAGTTTTGTCGACTGTGCTCTATGCTTACCACAAATTTAAACTCAAATCATTCACAGCAATACATCGTTGCTCGAACATAATGAAAAAAATTTTCCGATAGTTTGCCAATAAATCCAAAAAGTAACCACCTGACTGTATAAAGAATTGACGATTTATTAGATAATCGCCAAAAATTATCTTTCAAATATTTAAAACACTTTTCGGACAATTCCGGAAGACCATACTGTTCGGCAAGCATATGGAACTCAAGTACTCGTTCATCAGTGAGTGACTCGGCACACAATTCCGCACAACGCTCCATAACACTATCCTGAAATCAATACAAGAAACTCTAATAGGCATGTCAGAAAGCTTCCCACTAAAATTAGCTTTCTAATTAAAGCTAAAAATTTAAGGATCGAATGTTAGGAACTTCAATGAATTCCTCAGTGTACAGAGAAAACAACTGAATGGAAAAAACAAAGAAAAACGAATATTACTGATCTATTGTCAGTCTAATAAAAACACAGCATTACCAGACTAAGCATTGAAGCTGATGCAATGAGACTTGTAACATTCTCTAAATCCAGTTCAATTTCATTGTGATACAACGATTCCAAAACCATATTAAGTCCTGAATAACACAAAAAATTAGTGAGTATAACAAAATTTACAAACAATTATACCGAATTGTCCTCAATTTTTTCGACAACTTCATAGCGCTGAAAAGGCTCCATTTAAAGAATGTGAAACTTCATCAGCTGGAAAATTCAAAACGGATTCTGTAAAACATGGCTTATGTATCAACGAAAAAAGCAATAAAAAGTTACCTTCGACCGTGACATTCGGATCAACTATATCAATCTGTATCACTGCATTATTACTATCTTTCCAATGTCCTCTGAAGGAGAAGATGCAAATGTAGAGAAGTAAAGACTGTCTACGGAAAAAATTTGCAAAAACAGAATCTAATTCTTATATAGTAAAATCTTTTGATTGCTGCCAAGGATTAAAAAGACACGTAACTTGCTTTGGCCACATTATCCTAACAGTAATTATGTGGCCATTTTTGAGCAGGGGATTTACCAATGTTAACGCGATTTAGCGCCGGATTTCTAAGAAAGTCAAGAAGTCAAGATCAGGATTTGAAACTACTTAATTCAATCTACCTGTCAATTGACTGAAAGATCTGTAAGCACCTATCACTGTAGGGTGCTGGTAATACCGAAAGCGCATCATATAATTTAAACCAGAATCTTTCGAGGTAAGCAAAAGATATAATAAAATCATTATTTCTCTTACGAATCACGTATGTCAAAATACCTGAATAAGCTGTCGAAAAATTTGCACTGCTCCAAATAAAGTCTGTGGAGATTCCATGTTCGTCCCAATGCAATAATTGTTATGTCCGATTTGGCACCATCAACAAACAATCGTTTATGGATATATTTCGCAGTATCCAGCTAAATATTGATAAAGAGAATATCATGATTCGAGAAACCAATAACTTCGAGGAGATTGGAAAATATGGAACTTTCAACAAAAATTGCACGTTACATTTGCTTCCTACGCTTACTTAACGCATAAGATGCCACAACTTACCGATATAATAACATGCGAATTAATCTGCAGCGGTGTCCAACACTCTATGGTAATGAATTATAAGGTTTGAGACAAAGTCAACTCGAATTTCAAATCGAGTCCAAACTTTACTTCCCCGTAAGTAGTCTTAACATGCGTAGAACAGACTTTAATGGAAATCCGTAAAATCTGCCATACGTACTTTGCTGATTTTTTTCTTCCGTGTTTCCGTATTATCATCACCATTTGTTTTACGCTTACGTGAAGGAGTAGCCCGTGTAGAGTCAACAATCATATCCATGTCGTTAGACCCTGTTCTGCCACTTACTCGGCCTAATAATTGCCCCATCTGGCCAACACCTAAAAAATTGACTTTCCCATACTTTCCAATCTTCAACTACTGATACAGTGATGGCACTCTATCGCACCCACATTAATACATTAAAACCGATGTTTCAGGATATGCCACGATCCATTCCTATTCCCTTTTTAATAAAAGTCACGACGAATGAGAGGCAGTAGCTACAAAAAGCATGAAAATCGATGAAACTCTCCATCATTCCTTAACTGAACACGTTTCCCTTCCCCGGCTCTATTGTTACAATTCACCGGTAACCAGGCAGATAGACACCTTCATGAATTTCCGAATTTACCCACCACAAGAGACAAATCTTGCCATATCGGAAAGAAATACCAGAACCAACCCCGACTACCGCACACTCCCCATTACCAAGTCATCAAACCACCATAACGAGCAGTGCGGCGCAACCACATCATCATCTCCCCACTCCTTATCACATGGTTACCCGGACCGAACCGTAAAACAAAAAGTTAACGGCTCTAGAGCTCGACGAATGGATGAATGTGCGAATACATTGCACTTATATGAATTCTGTTGAATTATGGAGTCGACTTGAGGTATTAACTTCACGATTCACGAGTATCTGTATATAAAATGATGACTATTAGATTAATGCTACTCTCGGAATGTAGTGTAAACCAGAAATTGCTTTTTCTATTCATTGATGTCCTATGGAGTATAACCGCTAGGAAATTACCCGGACGCTGCATCGGATAACAGAGAAATGCAATAAAATACGGTGGAGTGCAGTACTAGCAATATATTATTAAGATATAAATATTGCCAATAATAACCATATAAATATAAAATCCAGCCTCACTTTTCTTTCTGCTGCATTGACTGCGCAATTACAAAACGAGCATTATTGAGCACACAATGGCCTTTTATAATATTTGTTACAAATACGACTGTGAAATAACTATTAAATAGTGAAAATTAAATAACTTAGAATTCACTTCACAATTATATTTCCACCTGACATACAATAAGGATTATTTTTGCTTTGTAAGCCTCACCTATGAACCAGCAGAAAATGCTTGTGAGACAAATTTAGAGCCTTACCCCAGGTTCTGGACCTCTTCAGGTACACGCAGTCTTCAAAATTTTGTCCAGCTACACTGCGACCAGGATAGCGTCCGGCTTACATCGAATTGACGCTTTAAGCCACTCAAAACTCATATTCACAGTTCCAGAAATGAGAAATTCCACCGGAAAATCTTACAAACATTGTAAATGATAAGACAATCCACATAATGCAAAATTTTAAATAGTGCACTGAGGAGACAGAGAGAAAGAGGAGAAAAATAAAAAGAAGTCAAGTAAACTGTAAAGACAAAGGAAATATGTTCGTATTTATGAAACATAAAATAAATTAACAGTGTATAGAAGCATAATATACATAACACATACACATACAAAGTAAACAATAAACCGCTTTAAGAGAATCTTAAATTTAAAAATTGCAGAAGGTTGCAAAAATTCATATTTTTGTTACTCACAACCATACTTCTTCACTATTAATAG